CAAGTGATACCATATTTTCTAAATAGATGCTGTTCTTTTTTTTCCTTTTTGTTGTGTATGTTGGTGGATATTCGTTCTGTCTGTAATCTGGGACTGGAATCAGCTTTTCATCGCATCAAATAGATTTGAGCCAAATAGCAAGTTTCTGAGTTCTCATATCCTTTGTTGGTAGGGTAATATAGGAAATAGAATGGAATCGGGGTTTTTTGGGATTCTCCAGTAGAACTGGTATTTAGATTGCAGAAAGAAAACAGATTATAATTCAGTAAATCCTGAGATTTCATATAGAAAAATTGATAATGTTACTGGTCTAGTTAATGATTATCAAACTCACTAACAATTGGTTCTCCTCCTCCAAAAATAGGTGCTATTCCCAATGGTTGTTTAGTACTCGAATTGGGAGACTGCATATGATTTTAATCAAACCTTTCTCTTCAAGGTAAGACATTTACCTGAGACCATGCCCAACTCTCTGTTAGCTAATGAATAGTGTTTTAAGATGATTTCCTTTTTTTTTTTTATATAAAGAAAGGCAAAAATCAAAAGAAACTAAAAGGTTGTCACGCATATCCTGGAGCAAGAGATGCTTATGATATCGTCTATGAAGAGCTGTTGGAGATCATTCGATACTTTAACATGAGAATGGAGGCATATCGGTAGAGAGAAGCCAACATTCGCCAACCAGTCAACATATTTCTTCCATTTGCGATACACATGTTGGATCCGGACTTGCCAATCCTGCAGTAGCAAGTGGTTGATCGCACGAATAAGAACGACATGCGTATTAGTACCGTAATCCTCCTTAGTGAGTAATTGCACTGTTAGAGCGCTATCTATTTTCAGGATTATATTTCGGAACTCACCATTTCAAATGAGTTGAAAACCATAGAAGACTCTCCAAAGTTCAGTCTGAAGAACAGAACATCTACCAATTTTTCTATTGAATCTTCTCAGGCAAACACCATCTTTATCTCTAACAAGTCCGTTACAGCTTGAGAAATTGGTTGCAGTACGATAAGCACCATCAGTATTTACCTTCAACCAACTCCTAGGTGGTTTCTGTCAAGTAATAAATTTTTCAGATTTGTGTGCCATAACTGAAAGAAAATAAAGATTCATATTATTAGTTATAAAAGTATAATAAGTCATGAGGGACACATCTTTAATTAGCTCTTCGATAGTGCTATCTCTCTTTCTTGGAAAATAAATTTATTTATATGGTTCCACAAGTTCCAGCAAAAAAGGCCAAATGTCACTCTCTAATTCTGAAATGTCTTGCACCAGGATCAATTGTTTTTGAGATTCAGCACTAACCACTCATCCACAGCAACACTGAAGAAAGTTGATTGGGCTTTGGTGGGAATGATCTTCAACCATAGCAGCTTGGTCACGTTACAATTACAGAGGACATGATCTACATCCTTAATAGGACTGCTAGACCTATTGCATTCCGCAGTGGAGGACATGTGATGTCGGTACCTCTCCCAATTTGTCAAAAGTTTCCCCTTAGCAGCCAACCAAAGGAACTTACGCACTCGTTGAGCACCTGACTAATGCCAAATGTCTCTCCAGTTTCTATCATCCAAGTGCCAATGATCGCTCTCCAAGAGGGCGTAAGCCGAGCTAGCCGAGAAGTACCCCAGAACTCATCATATTCCAATAGCAGGAGTTTGGAATATTGTCATCTTTAGGAGTCGGTACTGCTACCATTTGAAGCAGCATACCCATTGACAACACTTGGTATAGGGCCTCCCAATCCCATTGGCCGGACGACACCACATAATCCATAAAACATCTATGGAGATCCTGCTCCTCAATAGGTGCGAAAACCAAAAGTTTAAGCGGTCCCAGGTCACCTAACCAGCAGTCTTCCAAAAACTTAACATTTCTCATTAAACCAATGGACCATTTGATGCCAACTCGAAGGTCCATCTAGAGATGTTTAAGGTTGCGCCAAAGATGGGAGGTCGGTCCAGTCGGCTTGTAGTTCCACGATAAGACAGAACATCTGTACTTGTGGGTGAGGTCCTGGACCTATAGGATTGGTTTCGCAATCATAGCAAAACCCAATGTCATCAAGAATGTTTGGTTTTGCTTATGGATAGACCGAAAGCCGCTTCCCTAGCGTCGTAAGACATGCACATGTCATCTCAACTTATAAAACTGATTTTCCTGTTGCCATTCCCTTGGTTCCAGAGAAATTTCCTGACCACAGTTTCAATTTGATCATATAGGGTTTTTGGCAAAGTTGTGGTCTGCATAGCATAAACAGAAATAGTCATAAGAACAGAATTTGTCAAAGTTGAATGTCTTGCAAAAGAAAGGATATTAGCATTCCAGCTAGATAACTTCTGCTTCATTTTCTTAAAAATATAACGATAAGTATCTTTATTGACTCTATTATGTAACAACGTAACCCTCAAATACTTATCAAGATTATTAGAAACTTGAAATCCAAACATATTACTAATACGACTAGTTTCACCTGTGTTAACATTGCGAGAAAAAAAAGTAAGTGTTTTAATCGTACTCATTTTGTCATCCGAACTTGAACAAAATTTCTCTAAGACTTTCTTTATAGCCTGAGTTTGGTTATCAGTAACTTTCTCAAGAATTATAAGGTCATCCGCAAAAAAGAGGTGTGAGAGAGCAGAACCCTTCTTATCAAGGCGGATTGGCTTTCACATATTATTTCTCACAAAGGCGTTAATGCAATTGGATAGTCGTTTCATGCATAATACAAATATGTAGGATTTTTTTTTTTTTGCAAAAGTGTTTTAAGACAATTTTGAAGTTGTGGATCTTCACATTGTTCTAAAAAATACCTTCAACTGTAAATCACTGAGTTGATGTGTTTGTTTGCCAACATTAAACAATGAACCAATAATTGTTTTCTATTTTTTAAGTATAAACAATAGATTGAGATCGACTTTAGTTTATAAAAAATTAGTCAAATTTTATTACTTCACATGCCAGAGCCAAAAGTTCAATGTTTTATTTCTACTAAAAATTAATTTGATATAGCTTGTGCTACATCTTATTTAGTTAACTTGTGAGTAAGGCGATATATTGTAATATAAATAATAAACTGTCTTTCTTTTCTTTAAAAAAATTAAAATAATAGATTGAGTTCCTTCTCTCAATTTAACAACTTTTTGAAAAAAAAATTTGATTGTATTATCTTGAAACAGTTTAGCTCTATTGTTTCATAATATTTATGTTAAATGGAAAATATCTATTCAGTTTCCATGTTGCATGCTGGATAGCAAAAATTAGTTATAGTACTTCTAGTATATAAAAGATTTGTTATCGAGTCTCAGTGACCTTTAAAATTCCACCACCTATTCATAAATTCATAGGATCTAATTCTCGTTCTCTAATTAATACTCTCACTCTATTGATATTTTTAATTCCTCTAAATTAACCAACAAGTTTTTACCTAAATAGTTGATATATCTCTCCCTCTAAAGAAGTTATATGTTTGAGTCAGCTTCTGTCATGTGTCATCAATGAGAGATTATTTTATGATGAGTGTGTTTGTGTCAGTTAATCACCAGTAGTTTTAGATAGACAACGTGAGAGTTGTTTCGTAAAGGAAACCCTTTATCACTTACATGTTTTTACTTAAATAGTTGATATGTCTCTCCCTTTAAAGAAATTATATGTTTGAGTCAGGTTCTGTCATGTGTCATCAATGAGAGATTATTTTATGATGAGTGTGTTTGTGTCAGTTAATCACCAGTAGTTTTAGATAGACAACGTGAGAGTTGTTTCTTAAAGGAAACTCTTTATCACTTTCATGTTTTTACTTAAATAGTTGATATGTCTCTCCCTTTAAAGAAATTATATGTTTGAGTCAGGTTCTGTCATGTGTCATCAATGAGAGATTATTTTATGATGAGTGTGTTTGTGTCAGTTAATCACCAGTAATTTTAGATAGACAACGTGAGAGTTGTTTCTTAAAGGAAACTCTTTATCACTTACATGTTTTTACTTAAATAGTTGATATGTCTCTCCCTTTAAAGAAATTATATGTTTGAGTCAGGTTCTGTCATGTGTCATCAATGAGAGATTATTTTATGATGAGTGTGTTTGTGTCAGTTAATCACCAGTAATTTTAGATAGACAACGTGAGAGTTGTTTCCTAAAGAAAATCCTTTATCACTTACATGTTTCTAGACATCAGGATTTCATTCACCACCCTTAGCCAGTCTTTCAGCGCATCACAGCCTTCCTTTATCACAAATTCGTACAGACGAAACCACTTTGTCTGATTTTCTATTCAGGAAAAACAAAAACTGTTTGCTGATAAGAAGTGGTTTTCCAGTAGATAAAGAAAGATCATAAATATTTTTTAAGTCCTAAGATACAAAATTCAACAATCAACATGAGCTGCACATTAATACCAAGTCTTGAAGAACAGAGAAGAGAAGAAGCCATGGAGTCATGTACGTTAATGGAAGTATTCAAAATTATTTTCTCTTCTTTTCTGTCACTACCCATTTCTTTTCTTTTCTCTTTCCTTCTAACTCCCAAGCAAATCCTTACAGGAAATTACCATTTGGATTATAAGTTTATGATCTTTCCTCCCTTGACATGCTGATAAGCTCTTTTGACAGGATCTGTTGTGCCCTATCATGGCATGATAATGAATGTGTTAACTATTTATTGGTTATTGATGAGCACCAAACCTAACCCTTCCAAAGGTTTTGTTTGGTTTAGATCTGTTAGTATAATTGACGTGCACTAGCATGATAAATTTCCACGCAGGAATACTTGCTGGATTCCAATTGAAAAAGCTGGTAGTTGCAAGTAGTTATCCTATATATATATATATAGATGTATACAGTAATAGATATGTACAATTTATCTTTCAAAGTGGTGAGCCAGCAGCTTGAAGATTATATTTCCTGAAAATTGCTCTCGAGAAAACTTGGACTTGACTCATGGTTCTTTTCGTGACCCTCTACTGACAACTTGGGTATTAAAGAATCATGAGTAAATTTCACGTTATGGGACAAAGAAGTGGCTCAAAAGTGGCAACTATATATGTGTGTGTATATATATCCATATGGATGTGTAATCATTAGGTATTAGACCATCCTGACACTTCATTTCTTTAATTTTTGTTCAAATCAGTAATGTACCATTCTTGTGTTTAAAATAGACTATCTTTAAAACTATTCTTTTAGATCCTGTTCAAACTCCAAATCATTCTTAGTGGTGAGACACACTGTGGTAAACATAATTCAAAAATTTCAGCCAATAACTAATGCTGTCAATTTTGCTTAATTAGTATCCTGAACAAAAATATTCAGTAAAATTCCAACCCAAATGGAATATTGTAGGGATAGCTCGTGTTAGAAGGATTTTTTTTTTTTGAGATAAAAAGAATGTAGTATCAATATCCGGCACCAAAAGGGTGTCACCTTTGTACAAAATATTTACATTTCGGTTAGTAAACCGTTGACAGTCTCAAAATCTTCCAACCTATAGATGTCATAACCCAAATAAGAATAAAAAACATCTATCCATCTGTCTCTAATTCTAGCTATTTTCCCCTTACACCCTTTAATCGCTCTACTGTCCTTTCTTCTTACACCACCTAAAAAATAGTTAGAGGAATAAGGTTTACAAATTTCTTTTTTGTACAAATCCTATCCTAAGCTCGTAATTCATCTCAGTCAAGCACATCATTCATCTTTAACTGTACACCTTGTGTTAGAAGGATTTGTTTGACAATGATTCAGATTTTGGAATTCATTTATCTTTCACCATTTCTTGAAGTTTACTCTTCGTTATGACTGACTCATAAAGACAAATTTCCTGCTTAATTCTTCCAGCAACAACCAAAGTTTTAACCATTATGTGGAAGCAGATAAGTCATAGAACGAATCTTTGCATGCCGTGTAAATGACTAGTATTGCTTTATTTAGTATAATGCCTTTATCTCACATCAGAAAAACATATAATTCATAAGCTTTATATAATAGTTCGAGTTAATTCAGACTTAAATTTTTTAGAACAACAATGTGGTCCAAAGAGTATTAGGTCAATGGTATTTGTAGATTTATCACAAATGGTATTAGAACACACGTAGGTTGTAACTTTTTCTGCCATCTGATCTTAAATTTGAGTTAGGCTAATAGGCTTAGAAATATTTCTTTATATGTAATTTAAGAATACTTTCATATTACTTTCTCATTTCCCTATGTACATGGTTTGTTTCTTATTCTTTTCATAAGTATCATGATCTTACTCATAGCTGTGGTAGGCCCATGATATATTATAAATAATTACCATCATAGAAAGATCCACTGTTTGTGATGTACAATAATGGCATTGCCATTAAATATATGTATTTGTACACATGCACCCACATATGTATTCAAGTGCAGTTCCTTAATAGCAATATACTATTGCAGCACCTGTATTTTACACAGCTGAAGTGGAAATGGCTGATGGAGAAGCTCAAACATCTGCAAGTTCTGGTAGAAAACGAGGCGGTTGGATCACCTTTCCCTTCATTACTGGTATATCTCTGTTAACAAAAATGTTGCAGCCATGTCTGTCTCTTCCCTTTTAACGAACAACTGAGGTTAATATATATATATATATATTTCTTTGCTGTCAAGCAGGAGCTCTTGCAGGCTTGACGCTTTGCAGTGGAGGATGGATAGGAAACTTGATTGTGTATCTGATTCAGGAATTCAACGTGAAAAGCGTTGATGCTGCTCAGATTTCAAATATGATTTATGGTTGCACTAGTTTTTTCCCGGTTATTGGAGCGATCATAGCTGACTCATTCCTTGGATCTTTTTCCGTTATATCAAATTTTTCCAGTATTTCTTTACTAGTAAGTGTAAAATAATAAAATTGAACTAATTATCACAAAATTCAAATTGACGGAAAAATATCTAATTTGTTATTTATGCATTAACTTGTCCCTGAACTTGCAAGTTCGTTAGGTCTGATCTAACTCTTAAGTAAGTTAAAATGAATGAGGCGTCAAACAGAATGTATTAATAGACTTCCATTTTTAAAAGAATAAGACATTGTAGAGTTGGAATTGATTACTCTGAAAAATTTAGGCCAATAAGAATGACTCAATTAATTATTTATAACTTAATAGTAATTATCTCATTCAACTAATATGGTTAAATACATGATTGTAATATAAGTTTTAAGAAAAAAAACTATTAGGGTTTTTGTATAGAGCTTTATTTCTTGTTATTCAGTAATCGTAAGAAAGAAGGAAGGATACGTTGGTTGCTAAGTGTAGATCGAGAGGAAAACAGAAAATATTGTGGTTGTCATTTTTCTCTGATCTTTTCTTTTACAAATTAAGGTCTACTACTTATAGCACGAGAAAATCTTAGAAGGAAATTAATTGCACCAGGAATCTTACAAATTTTTCTAGTCAATTATTCTCTATTAATTACAGATCTTCCTAGTTAGTTGTTACTTATCAGTTATAGAGATATTATAAGCATGAAATTTTCTGCAGATATTATTAGAAACTAAATAATAAATAAATATTAAGAATTTAGACAAAATATTTCAACACTAAAGAAGTATAGGTAACAGGTTGATCTCCCAGAAACACATTTTTGCTTACTAATTTTTCTCTGCTGATAATCATCATTTTTGCTAGAATGTTTTTACAGACAATTTTCCGGATAGTGAATCTAACTGTAAAATGAAACTTGTAGGGCATGGTTCTTTTGGTTTTAACTGCAACCGTTGATTGCTTAAAGCCTCAACCATGTGAAATTGGATCTACTTCATCATGCACCAGTTCCCCATCAAAATTTCAGTTTCTAGTGCTATATGGAGGCATAATTTTAGCAGCCATTGGTTTGGGCGGTACACGCTTCACTATGGCCACGATGGGAGCGAATCAATTTGAAAAGGCTACTGATAGAGGGATTTTCTTCAACTGGTTTTTCTTTTCATTATATGTTTCTGCTGTGGTGAGCCTTACAGTGATTGTATACATTGAGGACAATGTGAGCTGGGGTTTAGGTTTTGGTATTTCTCTTGCTGCTAACTTCATTGGATTAGCCATTTTTCTGTTAGGAAATTGGTTTTATCACCATGATAAGCCTCAAGGAAGTCCATTCATGGATATGGCTCGTGTTGTTGTTGCTGCTATTAGGAAGAGAAAGGTGGTATTCTCGTCCGAAACCAAGGATTATTATCAGGAAGGCAGTGAAACAATGACTGTGGAGGCTACAACACCTACAGATACCTTCAGGTTAGAACCTGTTTTCAGTGTAGATACCTTGTATTTTGCATTGTTAATAAAAGTCATTTGTTGTTCCAGTAAGTCAATGTGTTAGCTCGTGGCAAGCTCCATATGGGTTTCTCAGGATCCACTACAAAATTCTTGCATTTTTTTAATCCCATTCACCAGGCCGAAGTCTTGATGTTCATGATTTCATGGAGAGTGCAGATAATATACTATAAGATATAGTCATGATAGAGGAGCTTGTGGTGGTCTTGGTAGGTTTTAAAATTGAAAAATGATTGTCTGTCGTGTATGTATATTGAGTTGAAATTGCTCAGGTTGGCTTTTGAAATTTAATAAATGATTAAAGAAGATATGCTTTTTTACCCTGATCAAATCAACTTTAAAACAAATTTGACCAGAAAGTCAAACCAAACAGCCCTAATATTTCATAGTCTTTGACCCTATACTGAGATAAAACTTTCAATTGAGAATGTCAAATTACATGTCTCTTGAGCATTCGACAAATCAAATCTTCAGTAAAAGCAATTTTGCTAATCATGCATCACTTCTTTCCTAGTTGATAATGTGATAAAGCTTCAATTAACGCTTCACTTCCTAAGTAAACATTTATGCCATTAATTAACGGAAAAAATATATATCGTTTTTGAATATTGCAGGTTCTTAAACACTGCATCAGTGAAAGTTGAAGGAGACATAAAACCAGATGGCTCAAATGCTAAACCATGGAGGCTGTGCTCTGTTCAACAAGTAGAAAATCTCAAAATCCTAATTAGAATTTTCCCACTATGGTCAAGCAGCATCTTCTTGGCCACACCAATTGCAATCCAAACAAGCTTCGTTGTGCTTCAAATTCTAACCATGGACAGGCACATAGGTCCTCACTTCAAAATCCCAGCTGGGTCCATTCTGGTTTTGGTTCTGTTTTCAACTTCAGTGTCTATCACGCTTGTTGATAGGCTCCTCTGTCCCATGTGGCAGAAACTGACCCATCGATCTCTGACGCCCCTCCAACGGATAGGAGTAGGACACGTGTTGAACGTGCTCAGCATGGCAGTATCTGCATTCGTTGAATCAGAGAGGCTCAGGGTAGCTCACAGCCATAATGTCCAGGCCTTGTCCGGATCCAACAAAGTGCCAATGTTGGCTGCATGGTGGCTATTTCCACAGCTAGTTCTGGTTGGCATTGGAGAAGCATTCCATTTCCCTGGACAAGTTGCATTATACTATCAAGAGTTTCCACTGCCGCTCAAGAACACAGCGACCTCAATGATTTCTCTGATAATCGGAATTGCTTTTTACCTAGGTGCAGCTTTGATTGATCTAGTTAGAGGAGTCTCAAGTTGGTTACCAGATGACATTAACAATGGAAGGCTTGATAATCTTTACTGGGCTCTAGTTGTGGTGGGAGTGTTCAATTTCGGGTATTATTTAGTATGCTCGAGTTTGTACAAGTATCAGAATGTTGAAAACATGGTGGAGGTGGACAATACTTCTGACAAGTGAGGATGATTTTGGTGCGGGCAAAGCAATTTACTTCGCCATTGATGCATAAACAATGTATGAGAAGTTCTAGTAAGTAGTTATGTTATGACTGAAAATTAAGTTAGCGTGTTAGTGCTTCCAGGACTACTCAACAGCAGATGACAATAGCTCATAAACAATGGAAACACACTGCAATCAGAGTACAAGACATTATGGTATAATGAGCAAACGATATCTAACAGCTTTAGATTTGCTCTCAAAAGTAATCTTGCAAGCATGGCTTTTTTCAACTCAACACAGCAGAGAGGAGTGAGGGAGGGTAACTGGATGAATGAATAACAAGACTGGTAAGAAAGACAATTTAGTGTTGGTCTTCATTACAACGAGAGAGAGAGAACAAGGGAGGTACTTTGAGTGTCAACTCCAAAAGAATGAACCATTTTTGCATAATTCAGAGATACACTTTCGTTAACTATGAGAAGATGAAAACTGATTTTCGGGATGATGGAAATTAACTCCAAATGAATTCTAAGCAAAATAGAGAAATACATTTCAAAATCTATAAATTTTGATGGAAACAAAAGTTCCACTTTCACTTGAAATTTTGTCTGGGAATGAATTTTCGTATTCAATTTATACATTTTCAAATAAAATCTAGAAAAATAGTTTATCTGTTCTAAACATAATATAACTCTGGAAAACAAGACAATAAGCAAATTAGGAGCAACACCAGAATCCATGGGAAGGTTGAAAAACAGAAAGTTATAGAACAGAAAACGAAAACACAATGCAGCTAGTTTTATTGTACCCAGCAGCACAAGCAAGCAGAGACCTTTGAAAATCCATGTCCGCCGAGGAAATCATGGAATAGAAACTGAGAAAGTTAATCATATTTACAGCAGAAAAACCATTACGATTCTCAGCTACTTCATTGCTTACTATCAAAGAGGAATCAAGCAGCAAGCAAAAAAGAAAAAGAAAAAGAAAAGGAAAAACGATCATAGAATTTTGAGGACCTGATGTCAGTTGTTCGCATTGATTCGGACAAGAAAACCTCATCATCCTACTTTTCTTAGCACAGCGACTTATTCAATACTGAATTGTATATATGTCCATAAGTGCGAGAAAAATAAATGGAGAAGAAAGTTTCCTCTTCAATTGCGAAAATCGAAGGAATACAGTAGGACCTGACGAAAAAGGGTCGACTCAATTTAGTACCTCGGGGGTCAATTTTGCACCATTTGAGATCCCTTTCTAGCGAGGCTACTTTGTTGAAAATTGAAATTAGAACGAGCCCATAAAGATAGCCTACTGGCCGAGATTCGGGTTTGGTCTATCCTCGGCCGGACGTAAATCATGCTTGGACCTGATTTGGACCTAAATTTCGAATTTAGGGTTATAAAAGTAGGCCGATTTGGATGGCCTTTCGAGATTATGATCTGTTCATAGATTGGGTTAGGGATTTTGAAAATTTAAAGGCCTTTGGGTCTTCTTCCTCTTGTTTCAAGTCAAGGGCTGAGCAATGGAGAAGCCTTTCGTTTTATGTCTATTAGTAAAAATCCCCATGGAACAGAAGAGGAAAGTTATAATTTGGATACTCGCAGAAAGGCGAAGGGAGAAACAAATATACCTTTATACACAACAAGGCATCTGATTCTAACTCAGACACATTTCTCCGTTATTGAATTAGAAGATGAGTTCTTATTTGTAATAGTATCAGTCATCATCTACATTTCTTGCCTCAATGGATCCAGCATTCTGCTATCACCACGATCACCCGGCTTTCCTCTTCCCTACCAATATAATTCCTTTCGTTTTATACGAAGCTACAAGTTGTATGAACCGATATAATCTCTGGTCGGGAATCTCTTGACAAGATTTCAACGTTTTATATAAAAAAAGGATCCTTTTGTCGAACAGGTGTACTGCATTGCTAAAAAATGTGTTGACAGGGATATTGATGGTGCGGATGCGGATGAGTGGGAAACAAGCTTGGTTGTGTACCTGATAGAGAAGTTCCAAATGAAGAACATGAATACTACTTAGATCTTTAAGCTATGGTGTTCATTGTTTCAGATTCCTCGTTGGAATGTATTCTCTCACCTGGGTGTCTTCTCTTGTTTCTATGCTGGTAAATTGCTTCTTCTCTTGTCTTGTTTTCTTCTTAAGAACTTTTCTGATAGGAGGTTAATTTTGAAGAGTCATTCTCTTAATCAATAGGCACCTAGTGGAATGGGATAACCCTCTCGCACACCAAGTAACCATAGACTTCTTCCAATTCTCCATTAAGAAGAATATTCTGCACATGTAGTTGCAATAGTGACTAATCTAGATTGGCAGCTAGAGACATTAGTATCCGAACGTGTTAAGCGTTTTCACTGGTGCAAATATCTCCTGATTATCGATTCTGTAGGATTGAGTAAAGCCTTTGGCCACTTATTGAGTTTTGAACTTTTTGATGCTACCATCAGTATTATACTTAATTGGGAACACCCATTTACAACCAACTTGAAAGTTTCCCTAGTGGTAATTCTACTATTTTCCAATTCTCATTCTTTTCTAAAGCTTGGATTTCTTCCATGATTGTAATTTTTCATTCAGGTACTTTTAATACTTCATATATTGTCATTTGTACCTGTATTTTTTTGAGATAAGTCATTGGTATCTGTATTTATCAATATTGTTAAGAAATGCTTGATGAGTTGATAATAAAATTATGCTTGATGAGGCGGTAGAAAATCTGTTTGAGATGAATCTGTTTGAGAGGAGGTTGGCGGGGTGGAAAATGGCTTTCCTATCTAAAGGGGGTAGGCTCACGTTGATTAAGAATACCCTTGCAAATCTACTTATCTATTACCTTTCCATTCTGTCCATCCCGGCTAGCATTGTGCATAAATTGGAGATGATTCAATGTTGTTTTCTTTGGGATGATGATGGGGGTGATAGAAAGTACCACTTGGTTAAATGAGATGATGTGACGAGGCCCATTAGAGAAGGGGGTTTGGGGATTAGATCCATTAGAGAGTTGAATACTGCTCTCCAAGGAAAGTGGCTTTGGAGGTTTGCTATTGAGAAGGAGCAGTTGTGGAAGCAAGTTATAAAGGCAAGATGGGGTGACTGGGAGAGGGTGAGTGGGAGGAGGGATAAGTTCAGACCTATTGGGAGAGGGTTATGGAAGAAAATCAGGAAAGCAAACAACTCTATGGAGAATTGTTTGGGTTGGCAGGTGGGTAATGGAGAGAATATTCATTTCTGGGTGGATAAATGGGCTGGGGAATTCAAACTTAAAGATAAATTTCCCAGAATTTTCTCTGTGGCCAGCGACAAGGAGATGAGCGTGAAGGCTACCTACGAGGTTGGTGGAGGGGGTTGGGTATGGAATCTTCCGGTCAAGCATAACTTGCAGGATTGGGAAGTTGAGGAATATGTGGAGCTGCTGCTGTGTTTATCTAATATTAACATAACTGAGAATAAGGATAAAAGAATCTGGAAGTTGGACAAAAAGAGGGGCTTCTTTGTTAGATCTTACTATGATTTCTTAACTAAGAGAGAGAACAACAACACCTATTCTGCCCCTTTCACACGAATCTGGAAAACTAAAGCACCTCCCATAATTGGTTTTTTTGCTTGAGAAGCGGCTAAAGAAAGGATTTTAACGAATTGATATGCTTAGAAAAAAAGGTAATGTGCTGATTACACAGGTGCTTCTTGTGCAAAGATGACGAGGAGACCTGTTTCCACTTGTTATTGGGCGGCCCTGTTACCTACAACCTTTAGTCTGCTGTGCTGAGGCTGATTAGGGTGGATTGGGTTATGGCGGGTAGTGTAAGTAGTGAACTTTAGGCTTGGGAGGGGTTGTGTATAGAAAAGGGGAAGCATATTTTTCTTATTCCTCTTACTATTTTTTAGGTAATTTGAAAAGAAAGAAATGTTAAAACTTTTGAGGGAATAGAGACTAACTTTGTTACCATCAGGGATAGATTAATACATACTTTTGGGACTATTTTGTTAGACCATGATATTAAAAATATTGATGATTTGGGTTCGGTCATTGACCAATTACTTAATCTGTAACTATTTTGTATTGGGCGGTACCCCCTTGGTACCTTGTGCATAATGATACTTTACTTTTATTTCAAAAAAAAGAAAATTTGCTTGATGAGTTAGTTATGCTATTTCCCAAATCTCATTCTTTTCTAGGATTTGGGTTTCCTCCATGATTGTGGTTTTCCATTGAGGTACTTTTAATGCTTCATATATCATTATTGGTATTTGTTTTTATCTATATTGTTGAGAAATGCTTGATGAGTTGATGATAGACCCTTGTAGAAATAAAATTGTGAATTGGATGATTAGTGCATGCTCTTTTTTGTTTTTTTAGAGCAACAGGTTTATCATACTACAGATTATAAAGGGAGAGATCTGAGTTTGAATTACTTGAAGTATTAACTGATGCTTGCCCCTAGTGATTCATGTTGTCCTAAGCTACTCCACCAACATCTTGATCTACTCATTTTCTTTAGACTTGCTTACCAATTTAGAACAGTACTGATTTGTAAATGTGATATTTGACATATACCCAAACATCCTTAAACCGATTCTTATTATTGTTGAAGCTCACCCTTGACTGACTTTTAGAAGGATAGTCACCATATACAACTACAGTCTGGATTTTACTTGAAGCTTTTCTTTTTTGTCTAAAAGAAAAGTTTGGATTTTACTTGAAGCTTTGAACCCCTTTTTTTTCTCTTTAACAATCTCATGGGGCTTTGAGGCAACACTCTACTTGGTGCTGTTTGATCCTGATAATTAATTTCATTAGATGTTCCCTTCCTGGACATTTCTTGTGGTTGAGTCATTTTAACAAGCACCTCATGCTCATCCATCACTCTGCTTTTATTTTTAATGTACTTTGGGTCCTCTATTTACAATTTCGTCCAGCTTCTCGACCATCACAGATTCTATGTTCTTCACTATTATCTTATCATCAACAGAAGAGATAGTTTCAATAGGAAGATCTGGTTGGAAAATTTGAAGATGATGGATGACTCTTCCACTTGGTAGGAGAGGAAGTGCCTCCACACAATGTTACCTGTGCTTTGTTGAGTTTCTGTTCACACTGATAGGAACTCATGACCGTTGAAAACTGATGCTGATGAAGGGAAACAACAAGAGCTCGCTTGTGGCTTTGTCTTCATCTCCTAGATCTTGTAGTCCATCGGATGTTTACTCTTTCGTGGAGCTGCTTCCTGCTCCAATTAAAGCTCTATCCAGCATCGAGAATTCACGAAGGACGAAGTTGGATTAGATGGAGGGAAAAAACTGTAGCTTATTTGCGGCATCCTCTTCGACTCCTTGATTAGGTGCTCCCACCTGCGTTGGCTGTCTTCCTTTAGTGAGGACTCTCCCAGCTGTACACCTACTCGCAACATCTCTGTATGCTGGTTCAACCTTTGACTGAACAGTGCCAGTCTTTGGTCAAAGAATGTCCTAGTCTGCCTCTGAGAGTCGTATATCTCAGATGTAAAGTCTTGAGAGTTTCTGGTCGACCTCTCGCACACTATCTTCTAGGTTTTGCAGCTTCTGTGGCTCGTTCACCACAGCCTTCCCCTTATTTTTTGCCATAGCCACAAAGCTTGCGAGGGTTTCCTCTTGATCAATATGTTTTAATACCACTTTGTCAGGAACTTGGCCTGACTTATGAAGAAATTAAGGAAGAAGAAGAGTTACAGCAGAAGTAGAAAAGGTTTTAGGAGAAGATGAGAGCTGATTTAGGGAGAAGAAATGTTAAAAATGCAGAAGAGAGGATAAATTGTTGTAAAGAGAAAAAAAAAAAACTGTAATTTCAAGTAAATTAAGGAAGAAGAAGAGTTACAGCAGAAGCAGAAAAGGTTTTAGGAGAAGATGAGAGCTGATTTAGGTAGAAGAAATGTTAAAAATGCAGAAGAGAAAGGATAAATTGTTGTAAAGAAAAAAAAAAAAAACTGTAATTTCAAGTAAATTTTCCCTCCTAATCACTTCCCATTCTGTCCTATTTATTTCCTTCCCGCCAGAGATTAGTAGGAACTAAAAAGACAGCAATGGAAAAAATAACAACCCCACATCATTTCGCCTAGTCAGCCATACATTTCACCTAGTCAGCCATACATTTTACCTGGTCAATCATACATTTCACCCTGTCTTGACAACAAATAAATTGATTACATATCACATATTAAATTATTATTCCTCATACTTAAACTTCTCCATGGCACACTTATTCTCTGTACTTTTACTTCAGAGCAGAAGGTAGCCCTAACTTCAACTTTAGATTCTGCTCAGACCACATTTGACAAGAAAAATGGATGGCACAATTCTCCCAACTGATGGAGAAGCTCAACTATCAGATTCTGGTATCAAACAAGGCGGTTCGATCACCTTTCCCTTCATTGTTGGTACATTTCATTCACAAAATTGTTGCAGAAATGTCTGTATCTTGCAATTACGTTTCCATTATCTGCATGTTCGAACTTGATTGTGTATCTGATTAAGGAGTTCAATGTGAAGCGAATTGATGCTGCTTAGATTTCAATAAACATGTTCTATAGGCCAATTAGGCAAGTAGTTATCCTAACCAAGTAAATTATGCTTGTCAACCACTAAGTAATCTTATCGACCTCCTTATCGTACTTAGCTAGTAAAACAAACATGGTCAATAAGAATAGAGCAGGTTTTGATGCAAGAAAGCCTTGTTGGTTATTTTGGAACTACTCTGTCAAAAAGCACGAATATGTGCATTTCTTTGGTTCCCAATTTTTAAATTTTCATCTTGATAGAGGAGCTTGGGGTGTTCAAATGTGAGCTATAAAAATGGTTCTGTCATGTGTATTTATAAAGGTTTGGGATTGACTGCCATTTGTAATTTTGTCCTTAGAAGCAAAAAAGGAACATATATCATCTCATATTCTATTGTTCATAGATTGGATAGACTTTCATTGGCAAGTGCAAATTACACCTGTCAAATTCTCTTAACTATTTGACAAACTAAATCCTGCATAAACGGAATTTTGCTAATCTTGAATTGCCTTTTTTGCCTTGTTGATATGATGATGCTTTGATAGCACTCCATTACCAATGACCTCCTATGCCATTGATTACCCTCAAAGATATACCAATATTTTTTTCTTATGATGCAGGTTTTGAATGCTGCAGCTTTGAAAACTGAAGGAGACATAAAACCAGATGGCTCAATTGCAAAACCTTGGAGGCTGTGCTCAGTTCAACAAGTAGAAAATCTCAAAATCCTAATTAGAATTTTGCCACTATGGTCAAGCAGCATCTTCTTGGCCACACCAATTGCAATCCAAACAAGCCTCGTTGTGCTTCAAATTCTAACCATGGACAGGCACATGGCCCTCACATCAAAATCCCAACTGGGTCCATTCTGGTTTCGGTTCTGTTTTCAACTTCAGTGCCTATCACGCTTGTTGACAGGCTCCTCTGTCCCACGTGGCAGAAACTTACCCATTGATCTCTGACGCCCCTCCAACGGATAGGAGTAGGACATGTGTTGAACGATGGCAGTGTCCGCATTTGTTGAATCAGAGAGGCTCAGGGTAGCTCACATCCATAATGTCCATGCTGTGTCTGGATCCAACAAAGTGCCAATGTTGGCGGCATGGTGGCTATTTCCACACCTAGTTCTGGTTGGTATTGGAGCGAAGATTTCTCTGATAGTCGGAATTACTTTTTACCTAGGTGCATCTTTGATTGATCTAGTTAGAAGAGTTTTGAGTTGGTTACCAGATGACATAAACAATGGGAGGCTTGATAATGTGTACTGGGGTCTAGTTGTGATGGGAGTGCTCAATTTCGAGTATTATTTAGTCTGCTCGAGTTTGTACTATAGTATCAGAATGCTGAAAAGGAGATAGAGGTAGACAATGGTTATATTTCTGACTAGTAAGGATTGTATAGGTGCGGGCATGGAAATATGTTTTGATTGATGAATAAATAATGTATAAGAAATTCTAGTAAGTGGTTCCCTTTCATGTCAGTTTAGTATCTTAGTGCTTCCTAGACTATTTGGCAGCAGAAAACAATAGATTGCAAACGATAGAAGCACACTGCAATGAAAAATAAATCCCTATTTTTGTGTCATATGCAAAAAATGTCTCTGTGCTCCCAAAGTCATTCTTGTAAGCTTCTCTATCTTATTCAACCCAGCATTGCAGAGAGAAGCGAGAGAGGTTGACTGAATAAATGAATGACAAGGTTGGTGAGAAAGACAACTGAGTGAATATCTTCTTTTCAACAAGAAAGAGAACAAGGATCAGATAGTTATCATACAACAAATTCTTTCCCTCAGTGTATTTGTGTATTACTGTCGAATCAAGTCCTTCTGAGTACAAGAAAAAATAAGGTATTTTTTGAAAAAAAAAGAACTATTTTTAAGAAGTTCATTTGAAAAAATATTTAGTTGACTATGAAAATTAGATCTAAACATTTCTTGGTTGTTTACTACTAATGTTCTGCTATGCTCAATGGTTATATAATTTCTATATGCCTTGATACCAAAAACAGCATCTCCCAGTCCAAGTTGGTATCAGGTGCTCTATAAAGCCGCAATGATTTATTCTCCACTTTCATACAAGTCACTGTAAAACATTAAGTTGATTATATATCATATACTATATTTGTTTTTCCTCATGCTTACACTTCTCCATGGCACAGTGATTCCCTATACTTTTATTTAAGGGCAGAAGGTAGCCTCTACCTTCAACTTTAGATTCTGTATAGATCACAATTGACAAAAAATGGATGGCACAGTTCTCTCAACTGATCAAGAAGCTCAACTATTAGATTCTGGTAGCAAACGAAGCGATTGGATCACCTTTCCCTTCATTGTGGGTATGTCTCATTCACAAAATTGTTGTAGGAATGTCTATGTCCTGCAATTATGTTTCTAATATCTGCTTGTTCTTTGCTATCAACCAGGAGCTGTTGCAGGCTCGACTCTTTGTGGTGCAGGATGGGTTTCGAACTTGATTGTGTATCTGATTCAGGAATTCAATGTGAAGCGCATTGATGCTGCTCGGGTTTCAAATGTGGTTGCTGGTTGTACAAATCTTTTCCCACTTATTGGAGCAATCATAGCTGACTCATTTCTCGGATGTTTCTCTGTCGTGTTACTTTTCTCTGGCTTCTCTTTAATGGTAATGATCTCACTCTTCGGAGAAGAAAAACAGTAGAGTTTGTAAAATTTCAAATTTATTTCTTGTTATTCAAGTAAACCTGACAGCACAATCAAACTTGTAGGGCACAAGTCTTCTGGTTTTAACTGCAACCCTTGATTACTTAAAGCCTCAATCATGTGAAATTGTATCTAGTTCATCGTGCACCAGTGCCCCATCGAAATTTCAGTTTCTCGTGCTATATGCAGGCATATTTCTAGCAGCTGTCGGAACGGGTGATACACCCTTCACTATTGCAACAGTGGGAGCAAATCAATTCAAAAAGGCCAAGGACAGAGGGATTTTCTTCTACTGGTTTTTCTTTACTATATATGTTTCTTCTATGGTGAGCTCTATGGTAATTGTATACATTGAGGATAACGTGAGCTGGGGCTTAGATTTTGGTGTTTGTCTTGCTGCTAATTTAATTGGATTAGCCACTTTTATTTTGGGAAAACGGTTTTATCACCATGTTAGACCTCAAGGGAGTCCGTTCAAGGATATTGTTCGTGTTATTGTTGCTGCTATTAGGAAGAGGAAGGTTGTCATCTCATCGGAAAACGAGAATTATTACCACGAACATGATGAAACATTGACTGTGGAATCCAGAAAACCAAAAGACAGCTTCAGGTTTGAACCTGCTTTCGAGTTACATAAACATGTATTTGGTTGTTACTGAAAGTCAGTAATTGTTAGTGAAATTATTAAGCATAAATTTATAATAACTAAATAGCATTTTAACTCATAATTGGGTACCCTAGTTTAATTATTTGACAAATTATTCTTATGCTTAATTATTTAAGATTGAGTTATCAATTTGATTATTGAGATCCGAGATCTCTATTTTCTATTCCTAATAGATTTTTCAAGTTTTGATTACATTATTAATTTTCTTTCTACTGTGGTAGTTCAAACTCAAGATTGGGTTTTCACTAAATGATGTAGAACAAGAAAATATTAAAGAGGATATATTCCGATAAAAGATATTTATGTAATTGTAATGTTTATGCATCATTAAGATCTTTAGTTTACTAGGAATTATTATATATAAGCTTATTATTAGTACGAGTTCATTATTACCTATTTAGTTAAGGTGCTATTGAGTTATTCTCTATTATAATTTACTTAATCAATTAGCTATTTTTTGTCTAATAAAATTTCTACATAGATATGATTAGTTGTATTTTGTTGCTTATAAATAAGATATCCTACTTTAATTATTTGACAGATTATTCATATGATTATTGATCAACATTGAGTTATTAATCTGATTATTGATGTTTGAGATCTCTAATTTTGGTTCTTAATTAATTCTTTTAGAATTTTATACTAAGTTCTCTCTATCCTACATCATCCACTATAGAATTCTTATATTCTCAGCCTACTCCTCTCCTTGATATCATGGTTAAAGAACTGCGTAAGAACTCGGCCTTGACATGTACTTTACTGAGACCGTGAACAGTAAGAGAAATTAAATTAAGCAAGTGAAAAAGAATAAAAGAGGAGAAAGAAATTTGGAGAGAGATAGAAATAGTGGGAGATCAAGATCGAGAAAGAGAGAGAGTTTTAAAGAGAGAAAAGCACAGAGACAGAGTGTTAGAGAGAGAGAGAGGGATTGGGAGTGACAAAGAGTGTTATAGGACAATTGATTACCTTATCCACCTCCTTATATAGAGCAGGTTTTCTTGCAAGAAAGCCTTGTTGGTTATTTTCGGAACTATTTGAGCTCCTGTTATGTACATTTCTTTTGGTGCCCAAATCTTAAATTCTCATCCTGATAAATGAGCCTGCGGTTGTGCTAAGTGTGAGCAAATAAAATGGTTTTGTCATTAATTCCCCTTTTTCCCTCGATATGATGCTGCTTTAATAGAAACTTCAGTACCCAACTGGCCTCCAGTACCATTGATTAACGTCAAAGACTTACCGATGTTCTTTAATAATGCAGGTTTTTGAATGCTGCAGCTTTGATAACTCAGATGGCTTAATCTTAAAACCATGGAGGCTATGCTCTGTGCAACAAGTGGAAAATCTCAAAGTCATAATTAGAATTTTCCCACCGTGGTCAAGTAGCATCTTCTTGGGCACCCCAATTGCGATCCTATTAAGTCACTATACTTCAAGCTCTAACCATGGACCGTACCGTAACATTGGCCAAAACTTCAAAATCCCAGCTGGGTCCATTCCTGTTTTGGTCCTGTTTTCCACTTCAGTATTTCTCATCCTCATTGATAGGCTCCTCTTTCCCATGTGGCAGAAATGTACTCATCAATACCCAACTCCTCTCTGTCGAATAGGAGTAGAACACGTGTTAAACGTGCTCGGCATGATAGTATTAGCATTTGTTGAATCAAAGGGGCTCGAGATAGCTCACAGCCACAATGTCCAAGCCATGTCTGGATCCGACACAGTGCCAATTAAGGCATGGTGGCTATTTCCACAACTAGTTCTCGTTGGCATCGGAGAAGCATTTCATTTTCCCGGACAAGTTGCGTTGTACTATCAAGAGTTTCCTCTGCCTCTCAAGAGCACAGGGACCACGCTGATTTCTCTGATAATTGGAACTGGTTTTTACTTGAGCACGGCTTTGATTGATCTACTTAGAAGGATTTTAAGTTGGCTACCAGATTACATAAACAATGGGAGACTTGATAATGTTTTCTGGATTCTAGTTGTGGTGGGAGTTCTCAATTTCGGCTACTATTTAGTCTGCTCGAGTTTGTACAAATATCAGAATGTTGAAAAAGAGGTCGAGGATGTTTGTATTTCTGACCGGTGATGATGGTGTTGGTGTGGTCAGAACTATAAGCCATGTACCTCGACATCTTGTTCTAAGACTCTTATTATTATTATGGTTCTTGTAGATACCTTTGGATGGACTATTTGTCTGTTAATACTTCACAGTGTGGAAGTTAATTTTTGTTAGTTAATGCTTTGTATTTCAATAGAACTTGTTATAAGACTCGTATTGCTATGCTTCTTTTGGATATCTATAGATGGTATTCATCTGTTAATACTATATGGTGTCGGAGTAAGAATTTTTTTTCTCAAAAAAATAAACTTTATATTTCTCACTTAAAATTAGACAGAAAAATCCTCTCCTTTAATTATGATATAATCTATATCATTAATACTTAGACTATTTTCACTTATACACTTGACATACCTGAAAAAATAGAAAATTAATAATTAATAAAAGAAAAAATTCAGTATTTTTTATGTTTTATCATACTGGCTATATAATTCATATATTTTAAATTCTTTTTTCTGTTAATCTTTTATAAAATGAATAATATGAGATAAAATGTATAATATATTTAATTATACAGTAATTCTGAGGCTTTTTGTTTTACAAGTTCCTTCTATTCATTACACGTCAATCTGATGCTTTCCATAATTTTTCTTTCGACCCAAATTAAGCTTCCATTATTTCTTCAGGTTTAAGTCTCCTCATTGAAAAACAAATTAATGGCTTAAAATTGCAAACATGATGTCCTGTTGCGTTGTGGTCAAATATAACAAATTCTTCTTTACTCTTTTTCTTTAACAAACTAATCAGTTTTCAATTGTGTATGAATTTTTCTTTGATCAATAATTTTATAAAGATTTCAGTCCGTTGAAAGTCTGTTGTACAGAATTCAGGTTGTACTCCTTAGCACTCGACCGTTTATCATATATACATGATAGCAATGTCTTCGGTCCTAACATGACTAACTGGATTCTCACTGATTGCAGTTGTTGCCTTATTATGACAGAATATTGATAATTTTGTTAGCACACTTCTTTAATTATTAAATTACCAATATTTTCAAAGTATGATAGAAACCAAATTGGTCAAGCATCTTGCATAACATTTCAACAGACTTCCTTATTTAATAATTACTAAACAAGTAAATCTGATACTTGCAGGAAAAGAAATGGAGAATCATCTTGACTTTTTATTCACCAGGCATCTGATGCTCATCTGTTACTTCTCCTTCATTGAATTCAAGAAGATGATGTTGAGAAACTTGTCTGGTAATCATCATCTACATTGTTCACCACTTCATCATTCACAGTGGATCCAGCAACACTCACTGTAATATCTACATATATATATATTCACTTTAACAGTCCACTTTCTTCAATGTGAAATGGAGTTAATATTTAGGAACCTGTTCACTGAATGATTACTTAAAATGTGTTATATTTATCTTGTAGCTGCTTGGCACACCGACTGAATCTGATCTGGAATTTGTTCGGAATGAGGATGCAAAAAGATATATCCGTCAACTCCCAACTCACCCTCGTCAGCCACTAGTCAGACTTTTCCCAAATGTTCATCCATCAGCAATTGATCTTGTTGATAGAATGTTAACATTTGATTCAAGAAAAAGAATTACCGGTGAGTTCTACAGTTTCCTGCCAGCCAATGTTAATTCTTTTATGGACAAATAATGGTATGTGTTTTTTCCTTTAATTCGTAATGAAATTAAATTTTTTTGATTAGTTGAGGAAGCATTAGCTAATCCTTTCCTTGCGCGATTGCACGACATTGCTGATGAACCACTTTGTTCAGAGCCATTCTCTTTTGATTTTGAGCAACAACCTTTGGTAGAACAGATGAAAGATATGATTTATCAGGAGGCTTTAGCACTCAATCCAGAATATGCTTGATAAAGGAGACAACAATCACTGCAACGAGAACCTGCAACACCATGTGATGTCTCGCAATCAAACAATTAACATTCTCCTGTTTTGTTCAATGTATATTGTAATATCTTGGGCTTGCCCAATCCTCCCTGTCCTCGTTCTCTTGAGGTCTGTCTCTTTAAGCTCTATAAGCTCGTTAACCTTTATACCCAGTCTTTTTGGTTATACTCAGGCATATGTTTGTTATGATGTTTTTAGATTTTGTATTTCCTCCCAGTGTTATTATACACACTTTTGTGAAGTGATGTAACTTAAGATTGGTTTATTGTAATACGAACTTGAAATCTTGTTGTAAAATGGTCATATTAGAATTGTCTCTTGTTCACCAAATCAATCTTATTTGAGAATGATTATCTTATGTTTACTGTGGTGTACGATATTAATAATATCATCTTTATTACACAAGTGAATACAATATTTTCTTTAAGTATATACTGTTTTTTTTCCTTTTTGTTGTGTATGTTTGGTGGATGTTGGTATAATCTCGGACTGGAATCAAGTTTTCATCGTAGGGAATAGATTTGAGCCAAATAACAAGTTTCTGAGTTCTTTTATCTTTTTCTGGTATGGTAGCATAGGAAATGGAATGCAATTGGAGTTTTTTGGGATTCTCAAATTGTGTTCTGTTGAGATGCAGTAATAGTAGAATTGGTATTTCAATTGCAGAAAGAAAACAGATTAGAATCCATTATGTCCTGAGATTTCATATAGAAAATTTGATACTGTTACTGGTCTAGCTAATGATCATCAAATCCGCTAACGATTGATTCTCCTCCTCCAAAAATAGGTGCTATTCCCAATGGTTGTTTAGTACTCGAACTGGTAGACTGAATATGATTTTAATCAAACTGTTCTCTTCAAAGTAAGACACTTAACGTGAGACCACACTCAGCTTTCTGTTAGCTAATTACTAGTGTTTTTGAAAGTGTTTTAGAACAATTTTGAAGCTATGAATCTTCACATTGTTCTAGAGAATACCTTCAACTGTGAATCATTAAATGATAATTTTTTGTTTGCCAACCTCAAACAAGGAACTAATAATTATTTCTATTGTTAGAGTATAAATAATAGATTGAGATCAACTTCAGTTTTTGAAAAATCAGTCAAATTTTATTACTTTATATGCTATTAGAACCGAAAGTTCAGTACTCTATTTCTGTTAAAATTAATTTAATATAGCTTGTGCCACATTTTACTTAACGAACTTGTAAGTAAGGTAAGATATTGTAACATAAATAATAGATTATCTTTTTTAAAAAAAAAATCAAAATAATAAATTGACTTATTCCTATCATTTTATCGGTTTTTTGAAAAATCAGTTCGACTTTATTATCTTAAGAGAGTTTAACTCTATTATTTCATAAATTTTTATATTTTGAATGTAAAATATCAATTCAATTTCTCTGTTGCATGCCGATTAGCAAAAGTTAGTTGTAATACTTCTAGTGTCTAAAAGACTTGTTACCAACTCCCAATGACCTTTAAAATTAAGAAAGAGAATTGATAATTCCACCTTCTGTTCATAAATTCATAGGGGTTCCATTCTCTTTCCTAATTAATACTCTCACTCTGCTGATCTTTTTAACTCCTCTCTACAAACTAACAAGTTTTTATTTGAATGGTTAATATGTTTCTTCCTATATTAAAAGTTGTATGTTCGATTCAGATAGTGTCATGTATCACATGTAGGAGATTGTTTTATGATGAGTGTGTTTTCGAGACATACAACGTGAGAGTTATTTCCTAAAGCAACCCTTTTATCGCTTATGTATTTCTAGACATCAGGATTTCATTCAGCACCCTTAGCCTTCTTTCAGTGCATCATAGCTTCCTCTATCACAAATTCGTACAGATGAAACCACTTTGTTCTGATTTTCTATTCAGGAAAAACAAAAACTGCTTGCTGATAAGATGTGGTTTTCCAGTAGATAAAGAAAGATCATAATTATTGTTTAAGTCTTAAGTACTGATACAAATTCAACAATCATCGTGAGCTGCACATTAATACCTAGTCTTGAAGAACAGTGGGCAGTTGGATCACCTTTCCGTTCATTGTCGGTACGTTTCATTCACAAAATTGTTGCAGAAATTTCTGTCTTGCAATTATGTTTCTAATAGCTGCATGTTCTTTGCAATAAACCAGGAGCTTTTGCAGGTTTAACGCTATGTGGTGCAGGATGGGTTTCGAATTTGATTGTGTATATGATTCAGGAATTCAATGTGAAGCAAACTGATGCAGCTCAGATTTCAAATATGGTTTCCCAGTTATTGGAACAATCATAGCTGACTCATTCCTGGGATGTTTCTCTGTCGTGTTAATTTTCTCTGGCATCTCTTTAATGGTAATTCTCTCACTCATGGTGACATGTTTAAATGCCTTCATGTGCTAGAGAAAAAAATCAGTATAGTTCCTAAACCTTCAAATTTATTTCTTGTAATACAGGTAATCATTGGAAAGCAGGCTTTTGTTTCTATATTACACCTTGAAAGACTGAACCATCTGTTTGACTTTTGAATTTTTTTTGCTGGTTATTTATGATGCTGGAAATTACCATCACGTGATTTCTGAATTGTTACTGACAGCAAGATCAAACATGTAGGGCACACTTCTTCTGGTTGTAACTTGCTTAAAGCCAGAAGGCACTGGTGCCCCATCAAAGCTTCAATTTCTGATTCTATATGCAGGCAAAACTGTAGCAGCTATTGGCCTGGGTAGTACATGCTTCACTATGGCAACAATGGGAGCAAACCAGTTCGAGAAGGCCAAGGATAGAAGGATTTTCTTCAACTGGTTTTTCTTTACTCTATATGTTTCTTCTATGGTAAGCTACATAGTGGTTGTATACATTGAGGATAATGTGAGCTGGGGCTTAGGATTTGCTGTTTGTCTTGCTGCTAATTTATTTGGATTAGCTACTTTTGCCTTGGGAAAACAGTGTTATCATCTTGTTAAACCTCGAGGGACTCCATTCATGGATATTGCTCGTGTTATTGTTGCTGCTACTAGGAAGAGGAAGGTTGTAATCTTATCTGAAAACGAGGATTATTACCACCAACATGATGAGATATTGACTGTGGAGTCCACAAAACCTAAAGACAGCTTCAGGTTTGAACCTGGTTTCAGGTTGCATATAACCAGTATTTGCACTGTTAGTGGAAGTCATTCATACTAATAACTAAATATCTGCAATTTCTGTTGAAGCCAAAAATTCTGTCTAAATCTTCTTATCACTGCATCTGCATTAAGAAGAGAAAAGATTTGGGATGAGAATGTCAGATTTTTGTCATTGGCATAAGAATTTCGATGGCTAAGTTGGTAACTGAAATTTGAGAAAGAAGGTATAGGGTATGAAAGGAGTACATGAGGTAGCAGTAGGATTCATTTATGTATAAAAATGAATACTACATAAATAGATATGACAATATCCCAATTTAGGATTCTTAAGTTCCCATTCTAGTATTCTCTCTGAGATCATGGTCAAAGAACCGTATTTTTTTTGAGAAGCATTCTCTTTTCTTCATTTTAAACGAAGAACAGAAAACACCCCTACCATGGATTCAAAATAAACCAGGATACGATAGGATAGAGTAGTATAATGTAGAGAGGGTAAGGGTTTACTTTAGTTGGAGCAATTGGGTTCTTAATATGCAGGGTACTCCACATGACCATAATACTCTTGATATACATTAAAATATTAATGAATAGTACAGAACATTGTATAAAATATTAATAAACATTAAATATGAAATTACAAAAAAATTATAATATTTTGTTTATTAAAATTAGATATTACCTAGTATTAGGCAAGTAGTTATCCTAATCAAGTAAGGCATGCTTGTCAACCACTAAGTAATCTTATCCACCTCCTTATCGTACTTAGCCAGTAAAACAAACATGGTCAATAAGAAAAGAGCAGGTTTTGATGCAAGAAAGCCTTATTGGTTAATCTTTTGAACTACTGAGCTCCTGTTAAAAAGCAGGAATATGTGCATTTTTTTGGTGCCCAAGTTTTAAATTTTCATCTTGATAGAGGAGCTTGGGGTGTTGAAATGTGAGCTATAAAATGGTTTTGTCATGTGTATAAAGGTTCGGGATTGAGTGCCATTCCTACTTTTTGTTAGAAGCCAAAAAGGAAAGTATATCATCTCATATTCAGTAATTCATAATTGGATAGACTTTCATCAGCAAGTGCAAATTACACCTGTCAAATTCTCTTGAGTATTCAACAAACTAAATCCTGCATAAATGGAATCTTGCTGATCATGAATCACCTTTTTTCCCTTGTTGATATGATGATGTTTAATAGAACCAATACCTCCTATGCCATTGATTAACATCAAAGATATACCAAGATTTTTTAATAATGCAGGTTTTTGAATGCTGCAGCATTGAAAACTGAAGGAGACATAAAACCAGAAGGCTCAAATGCTAAACCGTGGAGGCTGTGCTCTGTTCAACAAGTAGAAAATCTCAAAATCCTAATTAGAATTTTCCCACTATGGTCGCGCAGCATCTTCTTGGCCACACCAATTACGATCGAGACAAGTCTCGTTGTGCTTCAGATTCTAACCATGGACAGGCACATATGCCCTCACCCTTCTGGTTGGGTTCATTCTGGTTTTGGTTCTGTTTTTGACTTCAGTGTCTCTCACCCTTGTTGACAGGCTCCTGTATCCCATGCGGCAGAAACTTACCTGTCGATCTCTGACACCCCTCCAACGAATAGGAATAGGACAGTTGTTGAACATGCTCAGCATGTCAGTGTCAGCATTGGTTGAATCAAAGAGGCTCAGGGTAGCTCACAGTCATAATGTGTCTGGATCCAACAAAGTGCTAATGTTGGCCACGTGGTGGGTATTTCCACAGCTAGTTCTGGTTGGCATTGGCGAAGCATTCCATTTCCCTGGACAAGTTGCATTATACTATCAAGAGTTTCCGCTGCTTCTCAAGAGCACAGCAACCACAATGATTTCTCTGATAATCACAATTGCTTTTTACCTAGGTGCAGCTTTGATTGATCTAGTTAAAAGGATTTCAAGTTGGTTACCAGATGACATAAACAATGGGAGGCTTGATAACGTGTACTGGGCTCTAGTTGTGATGGGAATATTCAATTTCGGGTATTATTTAGTTTGCTCGAGTTTGTACAAATATCAGAATGTTGAAAAGGAGATAGAGGTAGACAATGCTTACATTTCTGACTAGTGAGGATTATATAGGTGTGGGCATGGCAATATGTTTTGATTGATTAACAAGAACCATTTATTAGAATTTCTTATACATCCATTTATGACTGAGAATTTAGCATGTTAGTGCTCCCAATACTACTCAGCAGCAGAAGACAATAGCTTGCAAACAATAGAAATGCACTGCAATGAAAAATACAAGACATATCATCCAAAAAAAATGTCTTACCGCTCTAGATTGTGCACCCAAAGGCATTCTTGTAAGCATCTCCATCTTATTCAACCCAGCAGTGCAGAGAGGAGCTAGAGACAGTAACTGAATAAAAGAGTAACAGGACTGGTAAGAAAGACAACCGAGTGAATATCTTCCTTTGGAAAAATAAAACAAGAAAGAGAACAAGGATCGGATAGTTGTTATAAAACAAATTCCTTCCCCTGGGGTATTTGTGTATGTCACATTAAGTCCTTCTGAGTACAAGGAAAAATAAGGTACGTTTGGAAGAAATGGACTATTTTTAAGAAACTCCTTTGGAAAAATGATTAGTTGACTATGAAAATATTGAAATTGAATTTCAAGATGATGGAAACTTCCATTTTGTTGAGCTACACGAGTTAGCGACAATCTCACAAATATCTCAGTTATTAAGTCTGTATTGAAGTTGTGTTCTGTTGTGTGTTTTAAATAGGAGAACCCAAATTTAATAGAATTATGTTTGAAAAAGAAAATTTTGATCTAATCATTTCTAGTTGTTTACTAGTAGTGTTCTGCTATAATTGCTCAGTGTTTATATATTTCTAAATGCCTTGATACCAAGAACAGAATCTCTCAGTCCAAGTTGGTATCAGGTGCTCTGTAAGTTGCACTGATTTATTCTCCACTTTTACACAAGTCTTTGCAAACCAGTAAGTTGATTAGATATCTTTTTTTCCTTTTTGAAATAAATTAAGTTGATTAGATATCATATATCATATTTGTTATTCCTTATGCTTACACTTCTCCTTGGCACAGTTATTCCCTACAGTTTTATTTAAGGGCAGAAGGTAGCCTCTAGCTTCAACTTTAGATTCTGGGTAGATCACATTGACAAGAAAAAATGAATGGCACAGTTCTCTCAGCTGATGGAGAAGCTCAACTATCAGATACTGGTAGCAAACGAGGCGGTTGGATAACCTTTCCCTTCATTGTTGGTATGTCTCATTCACAAAACTGTTGCAGAAATGTCTGTGTTCCGCAAGTATGTTTCTGATATCTGCATGTTCTTTGCTATCAACCAGGAGCTGTTGCAGGCTCGGCTCTTTGTGGTGCAGGATGGATTTCGAACTTGATTGTGTATCTGATTCAGGAATTTAATATGAAGCGCATTGATGCTGCTCAGGTTTCAAATATGGTTTCTGGTTTTACAAATCTATTCCCGCTTATTGGTGCAATCATAGCTGACTCATTCCTTGGATGTTTCGCTGTCGTGTTACTTTTCTCCAGCATCTCGTTAATGGTAATCATCTCACTCTGCAGACATGTTTAAATGCTTGTTGTGTAATACAATCATTTGAAGAAAAATAGTAAGAGTTTGTAAAATTTCAAATTTATTTCATTTTGTTTTTCAAATAAAAAGTATAAAATGTGGTATTCATATGGTCACCAAAGGGATGTCAACCCATGTATAAAAGTATTTACAAGTCAATCAATTTATCAATTAGGTTCCTTAAATCCTCCAACGAATTTAGAGTATAACCCAATAGCAAAAAATTAAGGGTCTGAAACCTTTTATTCTAAGTAAATCAAAACTATTCACATCGTCAACCCCTTCAAAATCTTTTTTGTTTCTCTCGTTCCACACTGTCCATAAGATATGGTTTCTCGTAACTAAAATATAACAACTTGAAATACTGAAACATCTATTTTACTCCTGAATTTTTTTTGCTAGTTATTTATGCTGCCAGAAATTACCATTGCATGTGATTTCCGAATTATTACCTGACTGTAAAATGAAACTTGTAGGGCATGGTTCTTCTGGTTTTAACTGCAACCCTTGGTTACTTAAAGCCTGAACCATGTGAAATTGGATCTACTTCATCATGCACTGGTGGCCCGTCGAAATCTCAGTTTCTAGCGCTATATGCAGGCATATTTCTAGCAGCCATTGGCCTGGGTGGTACATCCTTCACTATTGCAACAGTTGGAGCAAATCAATTCAAAAAGGCCAAGGATAGAGCGACTTTCTTCAACTGGTTTTTCTTCACTTTATATGTTTCTGCTACGGTGAGCTCTACTGTAATTGTATACATTGAGGATAACGTGAGTTGGGGCTTAGGCTTTGGGGTTTGTCTTGCTGCTAATGTAATTGGATTAGCCACTTTTATTTCGGGAAAGCGGTTTTATCACCGCGTTAGACCTCAAGGGAGTCCATTCAAGGATATTGTTCGTGTTATTGTTGCTGCTATTAGGAAGAGGAAGGTTGTCATCTCATCTGAAAGCGAGGATTATTACCACAAACATGATGAAACATTGAGTGTGGAATCCAGAAAACCTAAAGACAGCTTCAGGTTTGAACCTGCTTTCAAGTTACATAACCTGTATTTGGTTGTTAGTGAAAGTCAGTCATTCAGACTTTTAATAACTAAATGCCTGCCAATGCTCTTGAAGCCAAAAATTATTTTTCTTATTTACTGCATCTGCATGTAAGGGAGAAAAAAAAATGATGAGAAAACCAGATTTTTCTCTTTCACGGAATTATTTCAAGATAAGTTAGTAATGAAATTTGAGAAAGAAGGTATAGGGTATGAAAGGAGTGGCACAAGGTAGCCATAGGATTTCATACAAGCTGGATGTTCCACACTGGAGCTAAGGCGCCTTTTTTTTTTTCCCACAACATTATTAACTGTAGCATCTTTATACCTTGCAATACCAAAGATACTGGAAGTCTTGCCATAAGTGGTGTCTCCCTGCACAAACATTGCTTCCAAGAATAGTGCTACAAGAAGTCAAAGTAGTGCTACAATTATCAGGTCTGAATGACAAGAAGTCAAAGTAGCTCCAATACCTTGCTAATCCACTTCCCAAGAATAGTGCTACAATTCTGGCTGATTCTGTCAGATTTCCAACCCCTGCTATCTAACCTGTGTTTGGCAATAATCACCATTATCACAAACCAGTACAGCATAACATAAACTTCCAAAGCCCACTTGCCT